CCTCTCTCTCTCTCTCTCTCTCTCTCTCTATCTTTGTAACTTCGGTCGAGCGCTTTGATCTCCTCCAGTGATCACCTGACGTGCGTCAGTTAGATCACAGAGAAAAATCGGGATCCATTGTAATTTGAGCGCGCACGATTTCGTATCAATCATTTCAATTGGCGCATTTTTAATCGGTCGCGAATAAATGCGAGAGCCATCCTCGTCTCTCTTCCGAGACGTATCGGGAACTGAACTCGACGATATTACATCAATTTCAATTATCCGATCGCAAAACGAAGAAGAGATAGATATGACTAGACACTACGCATTCGCGACGTCAGCGTCGTTAATTAGACACTTGGGGATGAAGGATCATCCCGTGGATCAGACGATGTCGTCGATCGGTCGTAAGATCGACGGATCGATCGGCCGCGGCTGATCGGTCGCGAATGTCGCGCACGATCACGTCGATTAGACGACGGTAACGGCGTCAAAAGGGCGAGGTAAATATTTATCGCGCGAGGATCGACGTAAGGGGGCAGGAAGAGAAGCGAAGGGAAGGGAAGGGAAGGAAAAGAGTCGCGAGGGAGATGCACGGAGGCTCAAGACGCGCCGGGCAGGATATAGAGAAGGCTATAATACAGTTTTGCCGCGAGCGAGAGCGCGGCGAGAGTGACTCGCGCCGGCCAACCGGCGTCGGTCGGTTTTGCTGGACTCTCTCCGCGCGATGCGGCTTGCCGGATGATACCGGGTGGGAAGGAGGGAGAACTCCGACATACGACAGTGAGGTCGACGCGGAGGAACGAGCGAGCGGACGCGGTAGAACCTCGGTCGTGTTACGGCGCGGGGGAAAGGAGGAAGCGGTCGGTGCGTTTGATCTCGGCCGCGGGCGCCGACAAAGCGTTCGTCCACTCTCCTACAACGGCGGACCGTCCCTTGGGTGCGCGCGTGAGAGCGACGTCTGTGTAGTAGTGTGGAAGGAAAGAAAGATAGGGAGAAAGAGAAAGAGCGAGCGAGCGAGCGAGAGAGAGAGAGAGAGAGAGAGAGAGAGAGAGAGAGAGAGAGACGAAGAGAGAGAGAAGA